TATATATATATACATATAGCTTATAGATTTTGAATCTGTCACTGTAATCCATATATGTCGCTAGAATAAAAACTAGAAATAAAAAAATAAAATCAGTGTGACCTTGACCTTAACAATGTTTTTGTTGATGGAAAAAAAATCCTGTTGTTTTTCCCTACTCAGTGGCGGCACTAAGAGAAAACTGTCTCTGGGCATCTCCCTGATCGGCAACCCAGCGTTGATTATGCTGGATGAGCCGACAGCTGGGATGGACCCCATTTCAAGACGGACTGTCTGGGAGGTCCTCAATTTGATTAGAAAAACTGGTCGAACCCTCATCCTCACGTCACACAGGTAATGATGGGAGTGTATCTTACCTTGGTAATGATGGGAGTGTATCTTACCTTGGTAAAGATGGGAGTGTATCTTACCTTGGTAATGATGGGAGTGTACTTACTTGGGTAATGATGAAAAGGGTGGTTGTTGTGTGATTGTTGAATAAAGTTACATGCAAATATCGCATTAGGATCCCTATCACGGCCGTGCTACACAATCTCCTCAGCGTTTCACAGAATTCTGACAAATTTAATTTGTTGAGTGACCAGCAGAATGAATAAAGTAGACCTTGAAGCTATAGAATTCCTTTCCTCTCCAAGACGGTTTTACAGTTTCAGATTGTGGTTGTATTGTCGGTGATGACAGCTGAATGAAACACGACAAATGGCATGGAGAAGATGATGAAATCTGAATGGGGAAGTGAAATCATTTAAATGAAACACGACAAATGTCATGGAGAAGATGATGAAATCTGAATGGTGAAGTGAAATCATTTAAATGAAACACGACAAATGTCATGGAGAAGTTTATGAAATCTGAATGGGGAAGTGAAATCATTTAAATGAAACACGACAAATGTCATGGAGAAGATGATGAAATCTGAATGGGGAAGTGAAATCATTTAAATGAAACACGACAAATGTCATGGAGAAGTTTATGAAATCTGAATGGGGAAGTGAAATCATTTAAATGAAACACGACAAATGTCATGGAGAAGATGATGAAATCTGAATGGGGAAGTGAAATCATTTAAATGAAACACGACAAATGTCATGGAGAAGATGATGAAATCTGAATGGGGAAGTGAAATCATTTAAATGAAACACGACAAATGGCATGGAGAAGATGATGAAATCTGAATGGGGAAGTGAAATCATTTAAATGAAACACGACAAATGTCATGGAGAAGATGATGAAATCTGAATGGGGAAGTGAAATCATTTAAATGAAACACGACAAATCATGGAGAAGATGATGAAATCTGAATGGGGAAGTGAAATCATTTAAATGAAACACGACAAATGTCATGGAGAAGATGATGAAATCTGAATGGGGAAGTGAAATCATTTAAATGAAACACGACAAATGTCATGGAGAAGATGATGAAATCTGAATGGGGAAGTGAAATCATTTAAATGAAACACGACAAATGGCATGGAGAAGATGATGAAATCTGAATGGGGAAGTGAAATCATTTAAATGAAACACGACAAATGTCATGGAGAAGATGATGAAATCTGAATGGGGAAGTGAAATCATTTAAATGAAACACGACAAAGGCATTTTGACGATGGTAACTGAGTTAAGAAAACATAAGTCATGTAGAAGTGAAAATAAAATAAGACAAATGTCATGTAGAACTGGTGACATTCGAATTTTTTAATATAATATCGACAGGGGCGTCATTTCTTTTTTTTTCAAAAAGGCGGGGGGGGGGCGCAAAACCAAAAACTTGGTCGGCTTGTTAAGCTGTTCATTACTTGAGGCGCCACGGGACATAGAAATTTAAATAAAACCTGTAAATTAAGGGGGGGGGGGGAAGCCCCACACTGCTCTACCCAAATGACGACCCTGCTAAGAGACGGCGGTGCACTTTGTGTTCAACATGTTTGAAATGTTACAGCATGGAGGAGTGCGATGCCCTGTGTACACGGATAGCCATCATGGGCAAGGGGCAGATCATGTGTCTGGGCAGCCCCCAGTACCTTAAGAACAAGTACGGCCAAGGCTTCACCGTCATCATCTACGCAACAGTCGATGACCAGTGTCAGGTCGTTCCCTTGGACGACGCCATTCAGTTTATAATCAATACGTTTCCAGACAGCGAGGTGAGATAAGCTAAATCTTAATCCATTATCTGCCCTTTCTTTTTTTTTTTTTTTTTTTTTTTTTTTTTTTTTTTGTTTTTTTTTTTTTTTTGCTGTTGCGTTTGTGTGCTCCCCGAGACAACAATCTTTCCTTTGACAGGGCTGTGTGATTAATGTGCATCTAATTCTTTTATTATTTGCGAATAGCTTCACGTTTTGAAATCGAAGTTTTATTTATTGACAGATTTTTAACCAAATGGACTCCTATGCTCACTTGCAAGTCCCGGAAACAGAGAGATCGCTGGCTGATGTGTTTGAAACCTTACAGGAAGCTCAGGATAAGTTTAACTTCGCCAGATACACTGTTCAACAAACCAGCCTGGAGCAGGTGTTTCTAATGTTCATGAAGAAGACACAAGGCGTCTGATGGATAATAAGTTTGGTTCTTTTGTTTTTTTCTTAACGCTCGTAAATGTTGTGACGAGTTCATTTGTTACAACTGTTTTAACATTTAAAAACGCACCCAGACGCACAACATATTTTTACAAGCCTTTGAAATGTGAAACACGCCTGACAATGGTATACTAAATTAGTTCACAGTGGATTATAACTAAATCAATGTTCTTGTGTTCACTCAGTCTTGAAATCTTCTTTCTTGATCAGCACTTCGTTATTTTGACTTCCCTTTTTGTATTAAGTTTCAGTTCCAATTCATTTTGTAGGTGTTGCACCGTGCTAATTTGTTGGAGTGGGAAAGATGACAACCTATTAAATGTTGATGATACAAAGCTCCATCGTTTTTGTTGTTTTTTTGTGTGGTGTGTTAACACAATAGTTCGCAATTCAAAAAGCAAGCAACCATTTTTTTAAGGGGATGGAGAAGGGAGTAAGAAATAGAAACTGTAAAAAATTATATTAAAAAATACATGAGGTGATTAAATCATTAATGAAATTCAGTTATAGACGCAAAATTTTCAAAGTATTTTAGTCGATGTTGTTCTCTTTGACAGAGGCAAGCAGTAGCAGTTGACCAACACTGGCGGTCAATCTAATACGTTTACGCCATGCCCCCATATTTTTTTCAAATTGTGTTTTTTTATAAACTAGAGAATATACCGTAAATAGTTCCCATCTCCTTTCACCCATATGCTATCAAGGTGACAGTGAGAGTCTTTAAAGAAAAATAATAGAACTCACCATATTGACTGAACCTACATTACCCCCCCTCCCCCCCCCCCAAACCTTTCCGCCCAAGATACTTGTACAGTTCTAATTGGCCCAATTAATTTTGTTTTTTTATAAACTAGAGAATATACCGTAAATCGTTCCCATCTCCTTTCACCCATATGCTATCAAGGTGACAGTGAAAGTCTTTAAAGAAAAATAATAGAACTCCCCATATTGACTGAACCTACATTACCCCCCCTCCCCCCCCCCCAAACCTTTCCGCCCAAGATACTTGTACAGTTCTAATTGGCCCAATGATAAGAATTGCTGTATTTAATCAATACCAGCTCACTCGCTTCAAGCCACTATTACATATTAAAGGCGATTACTTCAGGTCTAATAAAAAAAAAATTACTTTTAAAAAAACCAATGGAAAATTTTATTTTTTTTTAAATTAGGTCAATGATAGCTAAAAAGTATTTGAAAATGTCAAGAGGTGTCACCCGTCCTTGTTGGCCGATAAATATAAATTATTATTTTGTTTAAATATTATCAAATGGCAACTTATATTTGTATTCTTAAATTTAGAATCAATTTATTTTCCTTGAGTAATTTCAGATCCTATTTCATAATAGAATAATCGGCTGAATTTCATCATTTTCGTTCAATTATTGCAAAAAGCGTTTAACCGGTGACCTAAATGCAAGCTTGAAAAAATCGAAGGTTTAAGTTTCCGTGAGCATAACGTCTCTCAAATTAAGTGTTAACCGTTAGCGATTTAAAAATATTTTTTTTTAAATTGAAGGCCTTCAATTTCTTGGGCGGAACTGATCAGTAGGTCAACTGAGTTACAGTACTTGCATCTTCATCTTCCAAGAGCATTCATTGACGGGCTGACTGTTACAAAAACAAAAAAAAAACCAAAAAAAAAAAAAAAAAAAAAAATTTACCAAAAAAGGCTCAGTTGAGAGTATCTGGAGAAGTCGGTGCAATATTAAAACTTTAACCAATTGCGTTAGTTTGAACCATGGGTTCTCAAAGTGTGCGGTACCGTCCTTGGAGGGGGGGTGCGTAATAATTCTCAATAGATTTAGGAGGCAGTTAAAAAGTGGGGAGTGGTGGTGTTTTTTTTACATTACGACTTTTTTTGGTCACCAACCCGAATTGTGGACAGAGGTTAAGCAGCCCCCTTCATTAAATCCTTTATATTAACTTCGTTTTTGTTCTTGGGTGGGTGGGTGGCTGGCAGGCTAAATCTTCGGACGGCTAATTCGGACCCACTTCCCGTCAACCTGTTAAGTTGCCTGGCGTTGGACAAGTGGTGTCACTTTCATAAGCCGATTCCAAGCATTTACGACTGTTTTAGCAGTTCAGAAGTTAGTCACCATTATTACAATGATTTAGTCTTAGTGTTATGAATCAAACTTTTTTTGTTTTCTTCTGAAAAATAACCCTTCTTTAAAAAGTTGCATCAACTCTGGATTAAAGTTATCTGTTCATTTCTGAAATACTACCGGGTGCTGGGGTCACCAGCCCCCCCCCCCCCCGGGGGATGGGACCCGTCAACCTTCAGTGGTAACTCGACTGAGAGAAGGGACACCTCCTGCGATGCCACTGGTGCCAAGCTGTATCATCCACATAATGTTCCCCTTGGGCTTATCCAGCGGCGCGGAGAGACGCGATATGCTGTTGGGAACCTAGAAGGCCTGGTGGAATTCGTCTAGCGAAGTCCACACCATCGTCACCTTGTGACGGGACGGACGCCAGCACTTACAATCAAAAAGCCTTTGTTTGTTTTGGAATACATTGTACTGTGTTATTGTAGTTATGTGTACATATTATATTGTGCTATTGTAGTTATGTACATACATTATATTGTGATGTTGTCTTCTTTACAACATTGTATCCTGAATAATTAATTTTGGGGATAAAACATGGGGGGCGCTGGGGGGGGGGGATTTTGTGACGCTCTGGGGGTGGTGGTCGAAAAAAATGGCTTTGTCAGTTGGTAGCTATATTTAGCAAAAAAAAGTTAAGTTAAGACAAT